AAAAAAAAAAAAAAAAAAAAAGACTTTTGAAAAAGAGTACTTCCCAGGTATAACTTTTATGGGCTATCTGTAATATTTGTCTATGTAATACTTTTTCATGATTAAACTTGGGTTATACATTCGGGTGTAAATGTCTCAAAAATGATGTCTTGACTTAGTGGTTGTTTGTTTGTGACATTAAATTAAGTCAATTGAAATGAGGGGTATCTACCAAGTTAGTCTATGGTAATTGATTCATATAATTAATAAGAATTTGTTAAGAACTTTGAGACTTGTAAATGTCTCTCACATTTCACACTTAGTTTAAGCATCCATTGATTGCTTTTATCCCCCAAAGCAGCTTGGTAAACATTAATCAGAATTCAGCCATCAGGAAGAGCTTACTGGTTCCCTCATTTACTTATAATTACTTTTTTCAGATCATTAGAGATTCATAGCGATTTCTCTTACTGGTCAACTTTTATTCTGCCATTATTCATTTTGTTATTGAAATTGTACTTTAGTGTAAAATTGTGTGGGTATTTTAATCACTTGGCTAGATGGTTCCAGTTATGCTCTCAGTAGTGATTTATGAAGGTGGTCATTTTCTCTCTCTCTCTCTCTCTCTCTCTCTCTCTCTCTCTTTTTCTTTTGGTACTGGGGATCGAACTCAGGACCTTGCACTTGCCAGGCAGATGCTTATGCAGCTGTGCTATCTCCCTGGCAAGGTGGTCATTTTGTGTCATCATTTCTGACACTGAGAGATTCTGAGCCCCCTCCCCAATAATGGCCTAAAATTATATATAATTAGTCTTTATGAGCAAAATAGAACTTTTGATTATTTGTTGGCCATATTTTATCATATTATTGTTTGTTCATATACTTTGCCCATTTTACTATTGAATTATTTGTATATTTTGGATTATTACGCAATATTTAAATATGGATAATAGTGCCTTATGTTTCAGGTATGAGTATTTTCTTACATTTGTTATCTTCTAACTGTATATGGTATCATTTTTTAATATGAGGGTTTCCTTTTTGGTATTCTTTTTGTCTTTCTTCACACCCTTGCTTTATTTATTTATTTATTTATTTATTTATTTATTTATTTGGCAGAATAGGGGATTGAACTCAGGCCCTTGCGCTTGCCAGGGAAGTGCTTATTCCACTGAGCCGTCTTCCTGGCCTCTGTTTTACTTATGTAGATTTTTAGTGCTGTTAGTCAGAGCCAGGAATTCATGCATGCTAGGCAGCCATTCTACCACCATATCCCCAGCCCCTAGATTATTTTTCATCAGCTTGGAAGTTGTTTTTATATGTGGTGTGAAACAGGACTCTATTTAATTTTTAAAAATATTAAATGTGTATCATTCCTGATATAAAACATCATTACTTGTAACAGCATAATTTCTATATTTGTCTGTGTATGTGTCTTAGTTACTTTTCTTGTTGCTGAAACCAAATACCCAATGCCCAGAGTTAGAAGGAGGGAAGGTTTATTTCAGCTCACAGTTGCTAGAGGTTCTAGGCCACCATTGGCTGGCTTCAAGGCGGGAGCCAAGGGCAGAGGTGCATTGCAGAGGAGATACAGTGCACGCAAGGCAGGGCACAGGAAGCAGAAAGCCCGCCTTCTTTGTGTCCCTTTTTATTCCATCCAGCATATAAACCTATTGATTGGTGCCACCCACACCCAGGGTGGGGTTTCCCTCTTAGGTAAATCCATTCAGCCACACCCAGTCCTGTGCTAATCCAACTCAAGAAGATATCATATGCCCTTAATTCACATTCACACACCCTAGATCCAGCCACCTCCAAGGAGCCCCACCTATGAGTGCATGAGGCTTTGGGGGGATGTCTAGATACGAGCCATAACAGTCTGTGTGTACGTGTATGTGAAAAAAATACATGCAAGTTTAGATACAGTTTTTTTTTTTTTTTTCCCCAGAACCAGGGATTGAACTCAGGCCCTTGCGCTTGCCAGGGAAACGCTTATTCCACTGAGCCATCTCCCTGGCCCCCTCCCTTGGTTTTTAAAAGCATGAGCCATATGAGTTCTAAATTACAGGGTTTATGATTTTTTAAAAATAATTTTCTCTTCCTTCCTTTACTAGATATTATAGTTTTTCTTTTAATTTTGAAAATCCTGAAAATCAGCTCTGGCTAAATTTTTGCTTCTTATCCATTAGTTTTTTTGTTTTTTTTTTTTAATTTACCTTTTTATTGGAACAGTTTGCTTGTTTTTTCATATTAAATTGGGTGCTCAGTTAATTCCTGTTTGCAATTATTTTTTCTTAATGGAAATATTTCACAGTATGACATTTCCATTTGAGCATACTCATAGATTTTTCATGTTAAAGGAAATCACCAACAAAGTAAAAGGAAAACCCATAAATTGGGGAAAATATTAGCCAGTGTCCCTCAAACAAAGGACTTCTATCTAGAACATATAAAGAATTAAAAATAAATCAGGCCCCTAAAATTCAAAAACTCAACCCAAAATTGGGCATCTGAGATAAATACACACTTCTTACATGAAGAAATACAAATGACAAATATATATATTGAAAAATATACATTATTGGTTATCTGAGAAATGCAAATTAAAACAACATTGAAATTTCATCTCACCCCAGAAAGAATGGCTGCCATCAAAAAATCAACCAGTAACAAATGCTGGTAGGACTGTGGGAAAAAAGGAACCCTTCTCCACTGCTGGGGGGAGTGTAGACTGGTACAAACACTGTGGAAATCAGTGTGGAGATGCCTCAAAAACTTAGGATTGGAGGTCCCATTTGACCCAGCTATTCCCCTTCTAGGTATTTTCTCAGAATTACAAACATCATACTACAGTGATATACGTGCACCCATGTTTGTAGCAGCACAATTTGTAATAGGTAGATCTTGGAAACAACCCAGATGCCCATCAATGGCTAAAAAAGATGTGGTATTTTTATACAGTGGACTATTATGCAGCTATAAAGAAATATAAACTCAAGGCTTTTACGGGTAAATGGATGCAACTAGAAACCATACTCATAAATGAAATAAATTAGACTTACGTGTAAACATCATATTGTCTCCCTAGTATAAAAAACTGAAAGAGTAAATAAGATCCTAAGGTACAATAGATTCCTGAGTCTCTAATTGTAAATGTTTCTTTTTTCTTTTTCTTTTCTTTTTTCTTTTTTTTTTTTTTTTTTTTTTTTTGTGGAACCGGGGATTGAACTCAGATCCTTGAGCTTGCCAGGGAAGCGCTTATTCCACTGAGCCATCTCCCTGGCCCCTACTATTAATTTCTATTAGTTCATTGAAAGTTAGTATTTATTTTATTTTATTTTTTGGCAGAACTGGGGATTGAACTCAGGCCCTTGCACTTGCCAGGCAAGCACTTATTCTACTGAGCCATCTCCCCAGCCCCAAAAGTTAGTATTTATATTGTTTGATCAGTCTTACATGCCTATATCTGGTAATCTGAGCACTGCTTTGGTTTTTTTTTTTTTTTTTTTTTTTCGGAACTGGGGATTGAACTCAGATCCTTGCGTTTGCCAGTCAAGCGCTTATCCTACTGAGCCATCTCCCCGGCCCCTGTGAGCACTACTCTGAAGATTACAATATGCAATATAACAAGCGTTGTCAATTTCCCATCATTTTGTTTCGAAATTTTGTATCATTTTAATTTTTTTTAATCAGCCTTCAAAAAATTGCTAGGCATGGTGGCAAATGCTTGTAATCTCAGCATGTGGGAGGCTGATGCAGGAGTGCCTTGATTTCAAGGCCATCCTGAGCTACCTATTGAGACTCTGTCTCAAAAATCATAAAACAAAAACCAAGAGGGGGGGGGAAACAAATTTTAAAAAGTAATTTAATTTTTTTTTTTGTACCAGAGATCAAACTCCAGAACTTGTGCTTGCCAAGTAGGCACTTGTGCTGCTGGGTTATCTCCCAGGCCCACGATTTAAAATTTTGAATGGGCAATAAATGTAAATAGATATAATTCAAAGGCACATTCAAAAGTGAGGCTTGGGGCTGGAGAGATGGCTCAGTGGTCTAAAGCACCTACTTAGAACAAGCTTAGCAAAGCACAGTGGACCGCGGTTCAATCCCCCAGCACCACATGCCAGCCAGCCCCACCCCCTGCTGGGCTGAGCTGGCCCCACACACACACACACACACACACACACAATAAATAAATAAATGTAAAAATAAATAAATAAATAATTTATTTTTTTATTTTTTTTAATTTTTATTTATTTATGTGTGTGTGTGTGTGTGTGTGTGTGTGTGGCCAGCTCAGCCCACCAGGGGGCAGGCGGGTTGGCATGTGGTGCTGGGGGATCGAACCGCGATCCCTGTGCTTTGCTAAGCTTGTTGTAAGTAGGTGCTTTAGACCACTGAGCCATCTCACCAGCCCCTAAATAAATAATTAAAAAACAAAACAAAACAAAACAAAAGTGAGGCTTAACCAGGCACAGGGGTGTGTGGCTGTAGCTTAGCCACTTGGGAGGCAGAGCACTTATTGAGCCCAGGGGTTAGAGGCTACCTGGGCAGCACAGCAAGACTCCTTCCCTCAAAAAGCAAAGAGGAAAATAACGTCTTCCTTTATTCCTGTTCTTGTCATCTTATTCATTTTCCTGTAGGTCACAAATATGACCAATTTGCCAGATAATCTTCTATAGGTATTTTAAATATCTAGGTTTTCTTTCCCATTCTATTTTAGTATTAATATTTTGGTTGTTTAGTATTCTGTATATACTTGCTTTTCACTCACAATGTTTGTAGTGATTTGTCTTCATAATTTTTAAAATCTACAGTGAATTCCATTAAGTACCATTAACTATTGAACCAGTATACAACTGTTAAGTATTAAGGTAGATTTCACTGTTTTGCCATTACCAAAATAAAAACAAAATGGATATATTCTTGCACATTCCTCATTACACACATAAAATAAACCAAAAGTGGAATGACTAGGTCAGAGTGTTTGTGCATTTATTTAACTGACATTGCCAAATTGTTCTTCATAGAGGTTACTAGCCCATGTAAAGGTTACCTAGTAACTTGAAGTGCATCTATACTCCTCCTAATGGTGTATTAAAGTGCCTGTGCCCTTGCTGCAAGTCCTTATATCATTGCTGAAACATGGATTAAAGTAATAATAGCTGGCATAGTGCATGCTTATTCTGTGCTAGGCTTCCTTTTCTTTTTTAATGCTTTTGATACATTTTCCAATTTACTCATCTGAATGGTCTCATGAGGGAGACCATTCCACTTTTTCAGAAGTGGAATATGGAGCATACAAGGTCAAGTAACATGTGTCAGTCCAACTTTTACTGTTTACTATTCTGATAACTGGAAAACATTGCATATATAATTTCATTTGCATTTTCTCATATTTTGGAGCCATTTGAGGTCCTAGGGAGCAATTGGTAGAGTCACCTTCCTGGGTCACACTGACTATCTTCCTGAAGGGAACAAAGCATACGGTCTGCTGTGATTGTTTTAATTCTTTGTCCCGTAAGGAAAGCCCAGCATAGAAAGAAAATCACTATTATGTATCATAAACCAATATTAGAATATTGTTATAGGGTTTTGTCTTTTCTTTTCAGTGCACAACAAGAGGCTCCTGAGCATGCCGCATCACCTGAGGTGATTCGTTTGGATGAGTTTTCCCCAGAAGACAGAGAAGCCGAAGAGAAAAGCTCCAAGAGCTCCGAATCTGCTGAGGAGTCGCGAGCGCGTCCCGGTGCCTCCCAGAGCTCTGCGAAGGAGGTTTATGTTCGACCATCAGTTATTCAAAAACTAGAGAGGGGACAGCAGCAGCCTTTGGAGCTTAATAAAATTGAGAGTGGTGTGAGAAAAATTAATCTGGTAGATATTGGTCAACCGTCAAATAATGGGCAAAGTGTAATCCGTCCTCCTGTGATTTGTAATGCTCCTGCTAGTTGTGCGCCTGGAAATTCTTATGCTAGACCAGTTTCTGAGAGTGCTAGAGCACTTGCTGAGAGTACTAGACCTGTTGCTGAGAGTGCTAGACCAGTTGCTGTGACTACTAGACCAGTTGGCACGAGTGCTAGTCGGATACCAATTCGTTTACGTTCAGTTAGCAAACGTAACCCAAGCAAAGTTGACAAAACTAAGCAGCTAGATGAGGGCCCTACACACCATACGCTGTCATGCCATCCAGAAATTGCTTCAGTTTCTCATGAGAATCCTAAAGAATCAAATAAAAAGTCTGTACGAGTAAATTTAAATAATAAGAAAGATGTAAAATGTCAGGGTCAAATTTTGTCACCTGCCTCTAAGTTCCATGAGCAGAAGGATACTAAAAGTTCTGTTAGAGTGGAATCTTCTTCTAAAGTCACAGGAAACCCAGTTGTAAAGCTGAATAAACCAACTGTGCTGCCTGCCAAACGAATCTCGGAAGGCGCCATTCCAAAGCGCCGTGGGAAATTTCCATCACAGATGGGTTGTACTCGGGAAGAAAAGCTTACAGTTCATAACAAGCCAGCAGTTTCAAAACAGAAGAGCTCAGTGATTACAAAAGTGAAGTGTAATCGCAGCTCTCTGCAGTCAGCGTCTGTCCCAGCCGGAAAGGCTGTGCAAGAGTACCGCTGGGAAGAAGAACAAGGTGGTTCTGAAGATGGGAACTATGGATCTCAAGGTTCCGAAATGAGTTTTGATGATGATTTATTTTCGCCCTCACCAACTGATCTATCTGAAGTGACTGCAGGAAAAACAAATGTTTCAGAGAACACACATACTGCTGTACAGTACAAGAGTAATAAAGCTTGTGATTCCAAAGTGAACTTGGAGGGTGAGTGTGATGATTCTCTTCAGGTGGTTGCCAACAAATCCCAAGTGATTGTCAAAGAAAAAAGTCCTCCAAAAGCAGCACGCATAAGCCTGGTTGATGAAAGCTATGATTCCAGTGGTTCAGAAATGAATTTTGATTGTGAAGACTCAGCAGAGCCAACTGACATTAACCCCAAGCAGCGTAACATCGATGTGATCTTCCCTAATGGGATCTGCACCGATTTGGTTGATAAGAGCTATGGATCTGGCAGCTCTAGAGGAAGCGCTGCTTCGGTGGCCTCACACGTGTCAGTAGTTAAGGAGACCCCTGTGCACGTAACAGAAAAGAAACGTCACATGAAGCCTCACGTTTGCCTGGTGGATAAGAGCTATGGATCTAGTTATTCTGAATCAAATTCTGACAGTGATGGTTTGCCTCAGGCAGCAGGTAACCATCCCCAAATGACTGTTACAGAAGGAAACCAGAAAGGCAGACCTGTCCAGCTCAAAACTAAGAAATGTAAGCCAAGTAGTACCAAAGCACATCTCGCTTGTGGTGCTTCTCTTGAGGCAGTGTCTCCTCAACCCCAGAGAGATGCTGGAAGAAAAAAGCTTCTGAAAAAGAAGAATGCTGGCCTTGTGGAGATGAACTGTGAGTCTCATGATCCTGACATGGTTTTTCATGCTGATGCTCAATTAGTGGCTGATGAATCTCAAGTAGCAGTTGAAGTAAACGCTAAGACTGTAGATATTGACTTAGAAAATAAGAGTGTTCAATCTAGCATTTCTGATCTAAGTTTTGAGTCATATGATTGTCTTTATCAGTCAGCTAATGATGAACTTGAAGGGGATTTAGGTGAAGTAAATCTTAAAGAGTTAAATGAAGCTAAGAGCGGTGGGTGCTCCATTTCTGAGTTGACATTTGATTCCGATTCCCCTCTTCTATCAGTTACTGAGCGGTCTCAGCTGGATGTTGAAAGACTAAAAGAAGATCTCTTTAACCTGGAAGAGGAGAGCTCTGAGTCAAATAGCTCTGGCCTAACTTTTGATTCTGATATTTCTACTTGCTCAGTAGTTGACCAGCCTCAAGTAGCTGTTTTTGAGGAAGAGCCTGTTGATCTGGAAAATGAAAATGATGACTCTTATGTTTCTGAAATATCTTTTGACTCTGATATTCCTCTTCACTCAGGAAACGATCAACCCGAAGTAGCTGTTAAAGAAGTAATCATTCAGGAAGAAGAATACATACCCTTAGAAAGGAAGAATGCTAAGCCCAGTGGTTCTGAAATTAATTTGGATTCTCATACCCCTCTTCATTCAGTGACTAATCCTCCCAAAGTAGCCATTAAAAACCTAAGTTCTCAAATATTAAAACACAAAGAAAACAAACCTACTGATTCTGAACTAAATATGAATCATGATACTTTTCATTCAACTACCGGACATTTTGAAGATCTCAATGACAGCAACTTTCAGAAAGAGGAGTGTGTACACTTAGAAAATGAGCTTGACAGAGCCAGTGTTTCTGGAACCCAATTGGATTCTGGCGCCTCTCTTCCATCAACAAGTGACAAGCCTCAAGTAGTTGTTAAAAATATGTGGCTTCAAAAAGAAAAGCAGGCTGATTTTCAGGGCAAAAGTGCTGAATCTGGTGTCTCTGAAATAAAGCCTAATGTCCCTCACCCTCCAGCAAAAGAACCTCAGGTATCGCTTAAAAGAAAAGAAAAGAAGAAGCACATTGAAAAGAAGGTTGATCAATATGATGACTCTGACCTGACTTGGAATTGTGATGACTTTCTTTGGTCAATGCCTGAAAGCCCACCACCACTCACTGCTCTGCAGCAGGGCATTATTTACCTGGAAGATGAAAGTCCTCAGAATAGAGTTTTTGAGGCAGATGTGGATATTATTAACTCTCTTCATGCAGTCCCTGACCAAACCCATCTGATATTTTTGGAAAAGAAAAGTGCTGATGGAAAAGACAAAAGCCACGAACCTAGTGACTCTAAAATGAGTTTCAGTTCTGTTGATTGTTTTCAGTTATTGCCTGAACAATATCAAAAAATAATTAACCAAATAAATAAGTGGAGGGAAGAGGCTGCTATCCTGAAAAGTAGGGCTGATGCGCCTAGTTGCTCAAAAGCAGTGCATGGTTTTGATGTTTCTCTAGAGTTTACATCTCGTCCACATACAATAGCTATTCAGCTCGTAAGTGTGGGGGAAGGTGGTCGAGTGTGCTTGGATAGTAAAGGCCGAATTTTTTCTGAAATGCAGTTGGATTCAGATTTGTTGCTTCAAGCAATAATTGATCAACCTTATATAGCTGTTAATAACTCAAAGAAAGAATGTGAGATTGATCTATGTTATTCTGAAGGAAGCTGTGCTTTTGCTGCCTCTTGCCAACCAGAGGCCAACCAGCTGAGGGAAACTGAGAGAGAAACCTCTGGTCAGGAAATTGTTGACCTTAAAGTTGAGAGGGGTGCAGATGAGAGTACTGAAATTGTACATGATTCTGATATCCTTCAGCCAGAGACTAGCCAAACCAAAGTCAATCAAGAGGTGAAACTTCAGGAAAAGTATCTTGACTCAGAAGATAAGGATGCTGAACCTAGTTCTCAAATAAATTCTGATTCTAATGAACCTTCTCAAGAGACTATTACAGAAGCACATCATCTGGGGAATGGACATGTTTTCCTCAAGGGCTATGAACCTGATGGTTCTAAACTAACTTACATTTCAAGTCTCCCTCTTGATCCACTGATTCAGCAACAACAGAATTTGGAAGAGGAGCATGCCAATTTGGAAATGGACAGCTGTGATCCTCATCCCTCCGCAAGTTATGATTCCAATAAACCTGGCCAGTCAGTGTCTGGCCAGCTTCAAAAAACTGACCAAGAAATGAGTCTGAAGGAGGGCTGTATTTACCCAGAGGATAAGAACTACAAACTAGTTAGTTTTGAAGGAGGTTACAATTCTGATGTTCCTGTCCAATTTGTGATTGATCCTTATGTGTCTGACAAAGAAATAAATGTGCAGGCGGATCATAATGACCTAGAAAATCAGAGCTATAAAGCCTATTGTTGTGAAATAGATGATTCTGCTATTCATCTGCAGTCAGAAGTCAATGTACTTGAGATGGTTAGCAATGAAACAAGCTTTCAGAACAAGGGGCTTTCTGACATGGAAGAAAAGGCCAATGAGCCTAGTGATTTTGACATGATGCATGATTCTAATGTCATTTTTGAAATCGTAGTGAACTCCTCACAGTCCTCAGATGGAGAAGCCGATACTTCAGACATCGTGTTTGTGAGGGAGATAGCCAGTGAGAGTGAATGTGACCGTGAAGTAATTTCTGATCCTGATGTCCCTCTTCAGTTAACGCCTGACCCATCTCAGTTAACCGGGTGTATGAATGAAGAATCCATTCAGGTAGGAAAGCACTACTGTCACTTTTGTGGTTCTGAGCTAAAATATGAAGCTGCTTATCTATCAGTGACAAACCAATCCTCAGACACTTTTACAATAATAAACCAGAAGAATGACTATATTGTTCTTGGAGAACTCATTTGTCAGTCCTGTGGTCAAGGACCAAATTTTAACATCACTGCCTCTGATCCATCTGTGTTCTACCAGTCCCAGTGGACTGGTCAAGGATTTGAAGGCACTTCTGAGAACACTGACAGTGAAGTCAGTCTTTGGAAAGATCCGAACTCTATTGGACTAAATGGTATGAGCCTGGCATCCAGTAGTGCTTCTGCAGTAGATTATGCTGAGTCTGTGATCTATCTCACAGCTGATCAAGAACGTTCTTTGAAGCTACAAGGTGCAGACCTAGCAAGCAGCGGTGACACATCCTATAGTTCTCAGGTAGATTTTCAGTATAATCTCTTGATTCAGGCTGATGCCAAGCAGCCTCAGAAAGCCTTCAAGAGAAAATACCCACAAAGGAACGTATCTTTTGACAAAAAAGAATACCATTTTTATCCAAACAAATCTCTTTTTATGATTGTTCATGCAAATAACATGAATGAAGGACCGGTGGTCATAGAAGATGATACTACTAAATCAGAGCTTGAAGCTTTGCCTCCTGTCTCTCAAGGGCCTCAGAAAATAAAAGATGATGATAGTGAATCTGAACCTCCTATGAAGAGACTTAGGAATGGTCGTTGCTATGGTTGCCCTCAGAATACAATCCAGAAAGTTTTGTTGGTTGAAGAAACAAAACCTACCCCATCTAATGCTAATCAGAACACTGTGTCTGTGGAGACTGTTTCAGATAGCAACTATGATGCAGAGGAAGCTGAAGATGATGACGACATTTCAATCATCTCACATAATTTAGACTGTGACTGTTACCTAGCAGTAGAGTTTCTTAAAAAGAATCCTCAGGATTCTCCAGTCTACTCATTAAGCACCCATTCAACTCAGACCAAATGTATGAAATGTGCATTAAAGAAGAGAAAAATGGCCGCTGAAGCAGAAGTATCACCAAAAAGGCAGTGTTTAGAGAGTGATGCAAAAAACGAAGATGATCAAGTCGAGATAGTCGAAATCCCCACATCAAGTACTAACACACTGGAGCTTGGAGAACCCAGTTCCACGGCCTCTGCTCCTCCTTCTTCTGGTACAAAACGGAAGAAACGTGCATCCTCCAGCTCTCCTAGAAAGAGGAAGAAGACTTGTGCTAAGCAGCCGCGGTCTGTGGGCAAGCGGAGACGGTATAATCGGAAAAAGGCACCACCTAAGAAAGCTGGAGGTAAGCCTCCGAAGAACCCAGTCATACCAGGCTCTGGCACAAGTAAGAGTGCTGACACTCAAAATGGGCGTGATGGAAGCTCCAGTGCACGAGGGAATAGCACTTCCACACAAGTCCCTGATCGCAAAGCTTTCATAGCCACAGCAACATACTCCCTAAAGCAATGTGGGAACAATGAAACTTGTGTAGTGCTAGAAAGTATGGAAAATCTGAATCTTTGTGAGGCTGCAAAGGTTAGTAATTTCCAATTGAGTCCTTCAAATAGTGGTGCCAAGGCCTCCCGAAAATCAGTTACAAAGAAGAATTACAAAAGTAAGAGTAGAAAAACTCCAAAAAAGAAGAAGACGACTAATGTTAAAGAAAGTGCTCCCCAAAGCATTTGTAAAACAGAGGGTCTTGAGGAAGACCAAGAAACTGAGGAGTCAGTTTTGCTTCGTACTAAAGCAAATTCTATCATCAAAAAGTACACTTTGCGATACTGTATTTTCTTGAGTCCTAGGTACCAGTCCAAGACCACCTTTTCTGCAGTAAATTCCAAGAAGAAGATACCCAATGGCACTGGACAAAAGAAGAAACTAAAGAATTCCCCAGTTCCACCGACTCGTGTCAAAAATCAGCCCAGAGCTATCGCAGGATCCTCTCGGAAGCAATTGGTGCTGCGTTCTTCCAGAACATCGGGAAGAAACAAACTTGTTGATAAAACTTACACTTACAAACAGAAAATACCGATACTCAGGAGAGAATACAACTTGAGAAGTTCACATTGCAGTCCAAATGGTAGTAGGATGATGACTCGACTCTCAAGCAAATACACGTAATTGAGGTAAAATAGAAGTTTTTGGGTTCTGGCTGATGGAGAATTCAGTATTTCAATCAAAATACATTTGGTACTTTTCTGCACATAGCTTTCCCAGCTTTGGTGGGAAGCTAACCTTAAAATATTTTGCTACAGATATTATTTTTCAGAACTTTTATATTCAGTTAAATTAGCTTTTAGGGCCCCCGCCTCCTTTTTATTTTTTATTTTTTAAATTTTTAAACCAACCTTTGTCCAACACTTTCTGTAGAAGAGCTTCTTTTGTCATAATATAATTTAACATATTTATATAGCATTTTGTCCCTGAAATCATGTCTTTCTTAGTTAATTTTTATGATAATCTCTCTTGTGCTGGCAAATTGTAACATCAAGAGAAAGAAAACAGCAAACTTACTGATGCAGTCATTTCAAAAATTGGAACAAATGCCTATACACTTAGATTCTACTTGTTTCTGAGTGGCATTGTCAATATACTGTTCTAACTGGATAATTCCAAAGAAGGAGCTATACTGAGTTCTTTCAGGCTTTCAGGATTGACTTAAATGATCACAACTGAAACAAAACATGATTTATCTTTTAAAAGTACTCCTAAGAATGAGATAGCATATCTTTAATCCAGTTTTTACAAAGTGCCTGGTGCCTTTACAGATACAACACGAACTCTGCATCATTTAAGTTGGATAGGCAAATCTGATTTTTCTGATTTGGACACATGCACACATAAATCTTTATTTTAACAGTATTAGATCTTAATAGGAAGATTTGCTAATATGATTAGGCTTCTTAAAACCACCTTTACTCTTTTACATGTAGGGTTGGTGGTTTAGTATGAAAATCGAGGCAAACATGATTTTATCACTTAAAACTATTTTGGATATTACTTTATCATTTTAAAATAGCTAAACTAAGTTGGCTTGGTAATATTTTTTGGGCAGGCCATAAATTGTTGTCATTATTAAGTTACTATTTCAGAAAACTCAAATAAATCTAATCACCTAAGCAAAGGCCCATTTTTGCAAGTGACAAACTATTTTTACATTAGTTTATCTTAAGCTATCTAATTGATTATCTTAACCTAGTTAGGTAGTACAAGGTAAACTAATTCGATAATGTATCTTAAACTATCTAATTGACTTTAACATTTCAGATAAAAGATGTCAGTCTAGAGTACTTGATTATATTCAGAATCTTTATTTCGGGATGCCCAGTGATCTGGGAGAGATGCATCCCATTATCTAGCTAAGCCAAGATCTTAGCTTTTTTTCTGTCATTGATGTTAAGGGGAAACAAGAATTTCACCCACATCATGTAGTTACTATACTTTATCGAAACTAGAATCATTGTGCTGTGTCTTGATTTCAGAAATAATGTGTTACCTTTGAATCAATGAAATATAAATGTGATTTTGTTTCAGGGGTCATTATTTAATCTGTGAGTATTTTTGATGGTGTTATATTGTAATTTCTTCTAAATTTAAACAGTAACTATGTTGAAAAAAGTGGGCAAATGTGTATTTTTTAGTCGCAAAGCAATCTAGCATTTCTTCAACCTTGCCTCCTATACACAAACATTTTAATATTTGTTCTTGAAATATTACTATAGACCACTTGTTCAGAATAATCCTCCAATTTTAATTCAGGAAGAAAGCTCTGTCCTAAAGTAAACAAACAGCTAATATATGAAAATATTTTCTTTGCAGGTATTGATATCATTTTGCCCTGTGGGACAGACAAGAGTTCCCCTAGGTATTGTTAATAGACATTCTGAAGTTTTTCAGTGAGGGTTTTTTTTTTTTTTTCCAGTGGATTTAAAAGCAAGAGTGCAGCCGGGTGTGGTGGTGCTTGTAATCCCAGCATTTGGGAGGCTGAGACAGGAAGATTATTGTGGGTTCAAAGCCAACCTGGGCTCCATAGTGAGTTGAAGGTCAGCCTGCACTACATAGAGATACCCTGTCTCACCCACCCCCCATACAAAATAAAAGCAAGAGTTTATATGGAGATAATATACCATGTAAATATGGTGAATTACATCTATTGTGATTACATCAGGAGAGAGGACAGCTCTTGTAAGTCAGTTGATCAGAATTTAAAGTTATGAAAGTGGTACTATATTGTACACACAGAAGCTCTCAGTAGCATTTGAAGGCAGGACAGGGAAAAGGTTTGTATAAAATTTACCTTACCAAAAAATATAACAGTATAATATAGTACTGATTATTTTGTTTAACATTTTAGAAGTATTTACTAAATTCTGTAACCAATATTATTTTTTTACTGAGTTAAGGCAGAAGGATTTTTTTTTTTTTTTTTTTTTGCTCTGAATGCCTTCAGGGCAGGTTTGGCTGGCTTGAGTTGTGGGGATCGAACCACAGTAACCTGAGGCTGACAGCTTTGTGGAAGCAGCCACTTAAAGAACTGAGCTAGGGCCAGGCCCCCAACCAGTATTATTTTTTGACAAATTTGAAGACCTAAAATTGTCAAATTCATAATTTAGGTTGATAATGAATTACTTTAAAAATTTGATAGGATGCAAGGTATGCCCCTTTGCCTAAATAAATGTTTGCTTAATTTGCAGATTAGATAAAGCAATTGGTGGTTTTTGTGTAGTCAAGAATACATTACATTCTTTAAATGATAAAAAGTCAAGTTATAACCATAATGAATATTATGTTACTCTTGTCCTTTTCAGTATCTTGCATAGATTTTTTGTCCTGAGTTCTTTACAGTATGTGGACAGTGTTGTGCAAAGTGTGTTTGCATCTGTGCACCTGAATTATTTACGTTAACTAGGGCTCTGAGTAACACTTTTTTTTTTGCTTAAAGAAAAGCTATATTTAAATATTCAAATAACTATATATTTCGATGTAAAACTAATGTGAAGACTGATGTATTTTTTATAATGCAATTTAAAGTGTTTTGATGTTATCAAGATAAAATTTATTAAATATTGAAATTTGTGTCACCTCTCGCCTCATGTTAAAACCTTTTTCTGGAATCAGAATAGTGAAAGCAAGTACTTTTATAAATGGTCTGAGAGATGATAAGATAAGAGAATATAAATGTTGATCCTGGCGAGAAGATAGTTTTACCAAAGATACGCAGGTTGTATTCAAAGCAGTCGTTATTTCAAAGGATTGAAATGAAACAACCATTTATTTGTTTGCTAGAGCGGTGGATTAGCAAATTTTCACTCTGTGTACCTGTGTTGAAAAGCTGCAAGAACAGGCTTGAGTTCAGAAGGTAATGTCTGTCACTGGTTGACACCTACTGAGAAGGGAGGACTCCCCTGCTTCCCATGCCTCCAGATGCTCCGGGGCCATAGCATTTCACAGAGACAGTGTAACACAGAAGAGTGCATGGATGTCCAGGAGAGGGGTACTTTTGGTCCCAGCATTAATTTATTGGTCTGGGATCTTACTGATAGGATGACAGCTTCCTGCTATTGATAATTTTAAAGTTTCAGCACAAATGTAAAATGGAAGTACCTCTCACTTTTATGTGTTAATAGTATGGAAAGCACTTAAAATCGTGTAGTGATGGAATTACATGCCCATAGTTCAACTGAAGAAGGTAGGAGGAAGGAAGCGAGATGGGGAGAGCCTCAGCATTTTTTTTTTAAATTTTAATTTTTTTGTTTAGACTCCAGAATTTAGGAAATAAGATAATTACTTATTACTTATATTAATATTTACACTCTTACACTTTATGCATATTTTAAAAGTTCTCCCAGTATATATTTTTTTCTCCCAGTATATTTTAACCTTTTTTTTTTCTTTAGTAGGTCTAGGATGAAATATAGTTTATGCTGAACTTTTAAATAACTAAACTTGCACTTTTTATGTTTATAATTTGTTACACAAATGTGATAATACACTTTTTTTTTTAAAGGCTTAATTATGCTAACAAACCTTTAATCCTGAAAAGAAATTTATCTTTCAGACTGTCAAGCTGAGTATCTACGTGCACACTATGAGTCTTTCCTGGCTACAGAACATTGTTCTGAGCTTTGTCTGTGTTATCTCATTTGATCTTCAAAGAACCCTTATGAATGAGATATTATCACTATTGATTGGATAAGAAAATTAAGACATAGAGCAGTTTACACTTAACTCCCCTTCCACCCTCAGGTCTAGACCATCAACATTTCAATTTAAGTCTTAAGTTTTTAGCCTTTTCTGAATGTTTCTCTATAAATGTAGCCATAAGGTATGTAGGCTTTTTTTTTGTTTGTTTGTTTGTTTTTTTAGGTATGTAGGCTTTTGAGTTTGCCTTATTTCATTCACCATGTTTTTGAGGTCATCCATTTCGTAACACTGTATCAATATTATGTTCCTTTTATTACGATAGAGCATTTACAGTTAGTCTTCAATAAAATTAGTTACTGAACCCTCATCTTTGGATAAAAGTAGGATAGTGCCACTGGGCGTCAGGCTTCTTATTTATACTCTGTGTGCCTCCTACTTGTTACTTAATTTCTCTCCAAACCCGAGACCACACAGAAGGATTCCTTTATTACTCTTTGCCCCACATTTGAGTATTCTGTATTTCCTCTAGGTTTTGACTCCTTGTCCCTTTACTGCCCAGCATGCATTCTCTCCCTGGTGGTCAGTGAATATGTATTCTTTGGTGTCAACACATTACCTTGTGCTCTCAACCCTTTCCTGATGGCTTGTTTGCAGGCAAATGAAAGCCAAGAATCATTCAAGTTGCTCATTCTAATCCATGTGTACCACAAAACCCCAGAATGTGTTGATTGTGTGCTGGTTGTGGGGGACACTCTCTTTAAGTTGTTCTCCTATGTACCTGTAATGCCATGAAAATCAGTTATCAGTGTTGATAGAATCATCTTCTCCATAGACCTTATTCATATTGTCCTCAGATGTCCTCTGTAGATCCTGGATTTGATCCAGGATGACAGCTTTCATTAGTTTGCTTTGGTATAGACAGTTCTTCAGCTTTTCTCTATACTTAATGGTGTGACATTTTGAAGATAAACTGATTT